TAGCAAACAAAACCTTCTCTTTTTTTCCACCAGCTTTTTTTTTTCCCTCCCCTGTTTTCGTGGAGAGGTTCTTCTTGCCTTTATTGCATGCATCAAACTGGACTCACCCACCCACTTTTCTCCAGTGCAGCTGTGCTCGCGCTGCAAGTTTCGTGGGTCAGCTTACCGGAGCTAAATGTCTGGCAGCGACAGACAAAAGAAGACCCACGCCAGTTTGTTCTTTTTTGTCCCACAGGGGTGGTGGGCGCTTCTCAGCAAGGGAAGGGTCAAAAGTGCTGGTGGTTCAAGAATCTTTATGCCCTCTAAAATTCTTAAATACCCCCTGGGCAGCCATCACCGATTTGGAAGATAAACTCGGGTTCAAACTGCTCACAGCTTGTCAGGGGCCAGTTCTTGCCTGTTTTTGCCCCACTTTTGCATCCCCCATTGCCTGGACTTCAATCATTTTGGGGGAATTCCGACTACTCAGGGCATACTCACACTAGCACTTTCCAAAATGCATCTGACCGCAATCGCAGCCAGACCTGCATGAATCTGACCGCAATCGCGGCCAGACCTGCATGAATCTGACCGCAATCACGTCCAGAGCTATGCAGAAAAAGTCTTACTGTGAGTATGTTGTCACTGTCCTGAATGCGACTACGCAATCCAAGTGCACAGATGGTCAGAAGCCAGAGTCTTTTCTGTTCTTTTTTGAAGTTTTTCAGACTTTTCTTCTTTTCCTTCTTTTAGAAGTGCTACAGCATTACCAAGCCTGTGTGGCTGAATGGTACACCATGATGATCTGTTGATGAAAAGACCTGAGTTCGAGTCCTGATTGAATCAAAACAAAGGAAATAGCACTGAATTAGCAAGAAAATTAATAGAAATAGCACTGAATTAGCTAGAAATATATCTGAATGAGCTTCAGGTGATGATGATGCCCCAAGGCTGTCGCCCTTTAATTTTTTTTTTCTTTTCGAGTACTGTACTACACCATTGAGAATTTGAGATATCATTGTCCAAGTGCCTGGCCCCAGGACTTCAGAATCATTGATTATTGTATCATTTGTACGTCATTCATCTGGATTCGAACTTGGGTCTGTATTTCAGCAGCTCATGGGTGTACCAACTAAGCTAGGCCCAGGGGGGGGGCGGCAGAAATCTTCCTTGGCTGGTACCACATGCTTTAAATTTTGGCCCATTTCTTTCTTGAATGCTTAATCCTTCTCCATTTTCTACCCGCCAGGGCCTCCCTGACCTGACTGGCTTGGGCCTGCCCAGCCGGGCACACAGGTAGCCTAAACTTGCCGCCAATCCATGAACGATTGTTTGTGTTTGCTTTCTTCCTGTTGATGGAGCAAGATTTGGCTCAACCATACTTGCAAGCAGACGGACCGGACGAGCGTCCGGTCCGGTCCGCTTTGCCGCGTGCGGCACCCTCCCCCCGGACCAGACGGACCCGGACCGGACCGGACATGGCCATTTTTTTTGTTTTGTTTTTGGGGTGGGGCGTAACTGGTCGTCGGGCGCGCGGGTCCGGCCCGACGGTCTGCCGCACGTGCGGAACCGCCCGGACGGCGTCCGCTCGCAAGTATGGGCTCAACGCTTGGAGGATTGTTGTCAATGGAGGGAAGGAAAAAGTCCTGAAAAACTGCTTTTCGTTATTGTTGAAATTAACATAAAGCAACTAGAAAACGACCCACTTGTGTTATCTCCTGACGCCAACTGCCGTCCATGCTCGTTATGTCCATGCTCTCTCTCTCTCTCTCTCTCTCTCTCTCTCTCTCTCTCTCTCTCTCTCTCTCTC